AGGGGTGGGCATGGAACTAAGTGGTCTTTAAGGTTCATTCCCACTCAAACCACTCCATGATTCTATGATACCTCAAACAGGATCAGCAGAACATTTATAATGCAATGCACATCAGTTTCAACTTCAGACATGTTTTGCAGCAGTAGGCCACCCATCAACATGCTCATAAACTCACCAGTTTGGGAGTTTTTTTGATTTGAAAAAACAGCTCTGGCCTGGGCAGCACTATCCTCCGGACAAACGCCAGAGGGTTCTGACAATTACAATATATTGCAGTGAATGGTATCCAAGCATCCTCAAAATATACAAAAAAGTACTCTTTGCAGCTTCCTTTGCGATGTACACAAAAATTTGCCAGTGCATCTGACACAGTTAAGAAGCTCTTCCTGGCTGCTGATGGACACTGGTGACACCTGGGGCCCACACACAACTGTTTTGGAGTTACAACAATAATGATGGTCCATGTGATATCCCTATCTTTTATAGAATAGAATCATAGAACATACCAAGTTAGAGATCATCAAGTCCAACTCCCTGTTCCTAAACTAAAACTAAAACTGAAACCGTAAGATTTACAAGCATCATTAAGATGCTCCTTGAACTCTGACACGGTGGGTGCCGTGCTTCTTCCAGTGATGACTGTGGTCTCAGCAAAAACCCTTTTCCTAATGTCCAACCCGAACTTCCCCTGACACAGCTTCATTCCATTCGCTTATGTCCTACTGCTTGTCAACACAGAGATCAGCACCTGCCTCTCCAGTGCACCCCTTTACGAAGTTGTAGGCTGGGATGAGGTCAGAAGTTGAAGATTTCATAGTCACCAGAACAAAAACAGGCAATTCCCACCACCAAAGGCAGCTGCTGTTTTTTATCTAGAAGCCATTGACCTGACCCTGTGGCTGTATTTTTCCTTAGAAGAAGAATTTTTCCCCTAACCAAACAGGGAAAGCAAGAAGTGGTCAGACCCTGAACTCATTATACAAATATATTCATATCACCTCAGCTTAAAGGTTTAATTCACAGGGAAGCAAATCATCTTCCAACAAAGCAGCCTTTTCTTAAAAGGTTACAGATTTTATTTCTTTTATCCAGTCGTATGGTGTTTTTTCCCGATTACATACCTGTTTATTGGCATCCATTTTCTTTAAAATATAAAACATTAGCACACCACTGATCACTTTTATATATTCGGTTTTGTTTATATAAACTGGAGAACAGTCCAAAGACTAAATTCTCTAGTAACCCTTTCACAGGGTAAGGTAAATACCATGCACCGATTATTGTGCCCGAAAAAGGGAGAATTCGTGTCTTCTCTTGAGTTTGAAATGCTCATAGTAGCAAAATATTTCAAATTCTGGCTAGCTGAAAAACCTATTTATTAAATCTTTATAAGACTGTAATAACAAAGTAAGATTTCATATTAAATGTTATCTATCCATAAATTTAACATGCAGTCATGTAGAATTCTTTAGTCTTTGTAACACGACAACATGTGACTTTTGACATAATTTTAAAGTTCAAACTGCCCAATATATTCTTGCTAGTTTACTCACAGCTTTCCTGACATATTTATAAATTGTGATCAAAAGCATTTCAGCTACCTGAAAAAAAAATTGAAAAAGGCGTGGAAACTTGCTTGTACAGATGTGAAAGAAAAATCCATCTTTTTTTTAAAAGCCTCCTACATAGATAACATGGCCAAGGGCAAAAAAATACGTGTTTTGTAGAAACTTCTTACTGACTTGCTGTCTCTCTTGATATTTAACTAGAACTTGGTCATATTTAACCAATTTGAAAATATTAACACATACACTTAATTTTCTGCTGAGATTGTCAGATGGATTTCTGAAAGACATACTTCATGAGATGTGTATCAGTAGCCACATGCAATATTAGCAGCTCTTTAAACCCTTAAAGAGCTTAAAAGTGTAATTTAAATTGAGTCCAAACATAACTCAGGCCATTATAAGAGAAAATAAAGAAAGATACTTTTAAGGTTGTATCAGTGTGTGCGGGTGGCAGCGGGGGGGTGTTTTACTTCTTTTTTTTTTTTAAGTAGTCTCAGTTTTAAGCGCTTTAAGACTCCAAAATGCCAAGTGTGAGATCACAGGGGTTTAAGTGATGAAAGAAGCCAATGAAGCAAGTAAACAACACAAGATGAAACTTTAGGAAACTAAAATTTTATAGCTTTGTCTTCCCTTTTCCTTTCTGTTTTTATTCCTTTTCTTATGCCTGCTTTTCTTTTGTTCATTTCTTTCCATCTTACATATTTTTCAGTTTCCAGAACACAGAACAATAATCTGCTTGAATAATTCCAGTGATCAGTTAATACACTAAGTAGCCACCAAAAGTGATTATTAGTTTGACTTAGTCAAATCAAAGTTCTTTTAAGGTGTATCCAGCAGCCTAATGAATTAATTTCCATGGAAGCAGATATAATATGCTAGTATAGGATCAATTTTGTTATGGGCATTACATACTGCTTCTTTTACTTGGAATCTCTATAAAAATAAAAAGAGTCTTGGTTTACATATAACGGTTTTTAAGACCTGTGTAACAGTTGAAATTTCACATGGTGTATTAGAGTGTAAGTGTCAGACTAAATTTAACTGACATCACTCAGTGTCTTCTCACTGATGTGCACAACTGACATTACAGGCCCTTCATTAATAAAACAGTACCTTCATTAACCTCCCATATTTTGAAAATGTTGTAGTTTATTCCAGTCAAAGACACTCTGCACTCCTCTGAACAAATACTTGCTGAACACAGTGTTTACAGGTTAAAATAAAAGGTGGTCAACTTTTTAAATACTTCTCACTAAATGTTACCTCAAGTGGGTGGCATTCTTTCAGGCACGGAGCGCATCTGTCATTTGCATTTCATTGACCTTGAAGCTTACTGGTTAGAGATGAAACTTCACCTATTCAAAGCAGCCTGTTTAAAATATTCAAATAGATTTTTTTAAGTGCATTTCACTTTTTAACTTCCTACTGTTCTCCTTCCATTGAGAAAGCAGTGCCTGAACGCAAAGGGATTTCCACATCTAGCTTTCATGCTTTTTGTTGCTATGTGGCAGTGACCGCTAGATTGGCAAATAGAATAATTGCCTTTGAAAGATTTCTTTAAGGATGTTAAGAGCATGAACTTCACTCTTTTTAAGCAGCTTCTTAAATAAATGCTTCAAAACAAAGTCAACTATTGATCCAATTCTTTGAATAAGAAGTTCTCCCCATTTGACAATAGCATTTACTACTGAAGATAAAATGTACATTAATCTTTCTAGTTTATAGTCTTCAGTTGACAAAGGCAGAATTACAGAGTTGCAGCACAAAGAAAGATTTGTACCGTCTGTTTGAAATGACGAATCTACATAAATTCATTGACTGACTTAAAAGCAATCTTAACACCTCTATGTCTTGTCACCTGAACAGAAATAGGAGTATAATTTATGATTTCTTTCCTAGTAATATTATTGAATAACTGTTTATTTTCTAAGCATATTTTTTATTTCCTTGTTTGTCTATTGTAGTGATGATTTGGTGAGGTTTGTTTTGTTGGTTTGTTTTTGTTTATTTTTTTCCCTGGAACTGAAAAAGAACATCCAGAATGCCTGTTTACTGCCAGGAGAGCAGGGTGGCAATTTTAGCCAGAAGAAACTAGATAACACACAGACCCACCCCCATATACCGTTCCCAAATATTTTGAAGAGTTTGTACCAACTTCACAGATTTTACACTTCTGTTGCCTTCCACTGGCATATCTACTTTCTAAAAGGAGAGAGATGGAAGAGAAGACAAGAATGTCAATATTCTGTCTGTCACGTGCGTGTATAGCAGTATAAAAACAGCCACTGTGGGACAGTAGTATTTTTTCCACTGTCAGCTGCAACGAGAAACTGAGCTAGGACAGATACTGCAGGAGCAGTGAAAGGAATCCTTCATGGAGTCTTACCTTCCCAGCTTTTAATTTATGTTTCCTTTCCTTAAAATAACCAGAGCGGTGTGCTTGGCCCTAAGGAATGCACAGGTGAGACCTACTCTGTTGCTCGAGTTGCACGTGGATTTAGGAGACGGGGAGGAAAAAGGGCAACAAACCAGCAAACAAAGGTTCAGCTCTGATAAGACACAGGCAAAATAAAGCTCGCGCCGCACTGATCACGCATAAGCTTGAGGAAAACGAAAAAGCGCTGCACACAAAGTACACTGCGGCTAGCGAGTCTAGGGTCTCCTTGAATGCAAGGTGCGTGCAACGCTGCCAGAGACACACGTACGTAAACACACATACAGAGGCACTTACAAGCCCCGGCTCTGCCAGGATGCGCACACCGCGAGCGCGGCATCCCCTCCTGCGCCCCCGCTCCCGCCCGGGGCCGCCGGGCGCACGTTCCGGGCGCCGCCGCTGCCGCACCGCGGCCGAGCCGCTCCCGCCGCACCGCGGCCGCCGGAGCTCCCCACGGGCGAGGGCCGCAAAACAGCGCCGGAGGGGCGCCCCGGCTCTTCGCGGCAGCAGCCCGGTACATGCGGGCTGCCCTCTGCCCGGCCCCGATCACCAGCCATCCCCTGCCCGGCTGCCCTGTCCCTGCGCTGACCAGCAGGATCACCCGGCCGCCCTGTCCCTGCGGTGACCAGCAGCATCGCCCTCCCGCCCCCGCTGCCCGATGCGGAGGACGGGGCATCCGGGAGCACCTCCCGCCCGCTCTCCGCTATCTGCGGGCGGCGGTGCGGCGGCTGCCCCGCTCCCGCCCGCCTCCGCTCCCGCCTCCCCGCGGCGCGCCCGCCCCTCGCCCGGCACCCGGCGCTGCTGCCGGCCGCAGAGCAGCCCGGCCGCGCTGTGCGTCGCGCTGGGACCGGCGCTGTCTGCGCGGCGTGAGGGAGGGGAGGGAAGGCCGGGGAGGGGGGAGGGATAGGGGAAGTGAAAGGGAAGGGGGGTGTGTGGAAGGGGAGGAGGGGAAGGAGGGGGGAGAAATCAAATAAATAAATAACCTCCGCACCAATAAGAGAGGCAGCGGCTGCCGAGAAGGCTGGGATCGGATGGGAGAGGTCCTTCTTGGGCTCTATTTGTTTGTTTGTGACTGGAGCTGCAAAGTTCAGAGCCAAACGTGTTGCTTGCCGGCGGCGGCGACCGCCCCGCTTCACCTGCTCCGCTGACGGGTGCCTGCCCGGGGCGACCCCGCTGCTCTGCGGGCCCTCTGCCCGGCATCCTGCCTGCTGCTGGGGCCGACGGACGGCAGAGGAGCGCGGGGCTCCGTCCCTCGCCTGCCCGCCTTCCCCTCCGCGCCTGCCGGAGGGCAACGGACAGGTGAGTGCTTCTTTGCCGCACTTCTGCCCAGCCCGGCGCGGAGGGTGCCTCCGCTCCGTAGTCACCTGTCACTGCAGGAGCTGCTCATTTATCAAACTTTGCCTCCTGTCGGCTCCCGCACCCCCTGTCTTGCCTTTCGCGGGAGGGCGAGCGCTCGGGGTTAATTGGTTTTGCGCAGGGGGAACCCGCGGGGGGCGGGAAGGGGGGTCCCGCTCTGCAGAGCCCGGCTCAGCCCTGTCGGGAGAGCGGGTTTGTCCGAGCCGCTCGGCTCTGCTGCCCGGGGCCGCTCTCCCGCGCGAGTTGGCGGCGCGGAGGCGGCGCGGTGCCCGGCGGAGCGAAGTTGGTTTTGCCCTCCAGGGAGCCCGCGGGGCCCGTGCAACAGGCACCGTCCTGCGGAGGGAGGGCGGAGGGCGCCGCTCCCGCCGGCGTGGGGCTCCTGGCGGCCGCGAGCAGACGTGTGCCCTTTTAGGTAATCCCGCTTTGTTTCCAACACCTCCGGGGGTTTGCCTTGCGGGGAGCCTGTGCCGTGAGGCTGCTTGTGAGAGCCTGCAGCAGCCCCCGGAGGCACGCCTCCTCTGAGGAAGGAGAGAAAGTTGCCGATGCTCTAGAGGACGGGTGCGGTGTTTCCACCCGGCTGCGCGGAAGATGCGCGCCGGGGCTCCGGGCGGCTTTGCCCGCCCCGCGGTGGCGGCGCGGCGGGGAAGGCAGCGAGCGAGCGAGGGAGCGGGTGGGTGCTGCGGGGCGCGGGCGCCCGGCAGGTGGAGCCGTGGGGAGCGGCGGCGGCGGCGATGGTTTATCTGGGCTGAGGCAGGGAGGCGAGCGGAGCCCGGAGGCGCGGTGAGAGGCGGCCCGGTGGCCCCGGAACCGCTGCGCAGCGGGCGGAGCGCGTCCTTCAGGGGCATGCGGGGAGCGCCGGCGGTGCGCGCCGTCCTGCGGGCGCTGCAGGTGGACGCGGTGCCCTGCGGTGTTAGCGTTACCCCTGGTCACACGCGTATTTTCTTCTACCTTCGTTCTGTTTGTCTCTGAGTATTGGAGAAGATCAAATTCGAGGGGTATTCTGTCTCAATTACCAGAGAATGTATGAAAGTGTGATTGCTAAAATTATTCAGTAGTGGTTAACAATTAAAAGATTATCCCAGTGCTCTGCAGCTACCAAGGAACAGACTGTACTAACTGGATAGTTAATGACATTTAAATGGGCGAGTTTTCTTAAAATAGGAAGCTCCACTCTTCTAAGGAGCTGAATAAAGTGTTAGAATGTTAAATAATTGTATTATAGTGATGGTAACACTTCTGCAAGAGCTTAAGGTGTTAGCTTGGCCAGCAGCACTGGGACAGCCAATGCCCTTTAGAGCATTGGTTAAGAGCAGGCTGGATTTTCATCACTTTTCCTTTAATAGTTAAATACAGCTAAATGGTGTAGAAACATGCGTGAAACAAACCAAAGGGGTGGCAATATTTTACATATTGTCCAGTGACATCTGCTTCCATCTTCAACTGACATCATTTGGCTGAATTGATAATTGAACTTGAATTTTACGCTACTAACCACTTAATACTTGAATTCTATGTCTCTTTGTGCCACTTACACTGATCAGAAAAAATTGCTCTTTAATATTGTGGAGACTGGGTATGGGATGGTGTAACAACACTTTTCTTGTAATCCGTTTAAAGTGTTTTTTTTGGTTTTTTTATTTAATAATCCAGGTTAAACACTTTACTTCAGTAATAAAGTGGTAGGTAAATCAGCTTAGTGCAGCTACCCTGTATTTTCAGAACTCTTGGTTCTTCACGTTTCTCATGTTTCTTGCACAACTTGAAAATGTTCTGTGAGAAACTCATACAATGACTGCATAAACTTGTTGCATTTTGTTGTAAAAGTTTTCTTAATGTAATAAAGTTGGCATAATAAGAAGCAACACAATGTAATCTTACGTTTGTGGTATTTTTTTTTCCAGAGACAAAATGTTTTCCATTCTCTTAATCAAAGACATATACTTAAGGAAAGTGCCAGAAATTGAATTTAATAAGAGATTAACTTCACAAATTAAATAGGATATTCTATATTAAGAGGTACTGTAGAGAATAGCACATAATTAAAATTGTAAAGTATGTCTGTACTTTTATATACCTATGCTTTATTCAGTCAATCATGAGTTTTTGTTACCAATGTAGATTTGTGCCTCCTTTGAGGTATAAAAATGCATAAAGAAGCTCCTGAAATGCTGGCCTAAATACTGAAAGGGCTTGGAGTGTGTGTCTCCCAAGTCAGTGAAAATGGTGAGCTTCACAGAAGTTACATTCATAATTGTGAAACTAATTTATTTTCTTCTTGTCTTGGGTGCTGTAGCTGTCACTTGAAAATCTTTTTGTGTTGTATCCCAGCCTTGCTCTTTTCACTATTATAGATACATTTCTCAAAGACTTCCTTTATTCTTGCGCACCAAAGTATTCAAACATTTCTTATGAGTATTGCTGCTGACTTCTGAACCTTAATTCCAGTCTATGCTGTCCAAATGAATGTTTCTGAAAAATCAGAACAATAGAACTTCTGGATTTTTCCTCAGTTCCTGTAAAAATGTTAGTTTAATTGAAGATGGTGTTTTAATGTTAAAATTGGATTTCCTCCAGAACAAAAGTATGACTTTGCACACAGCTGATAAATAGATAGCTGAATGTGTTATCAGAGATTTACAAAACATTGATGTCTTGACATCTGGATTTGTTATGTGTCTTTAATAAAACAAAATGTGTGAAAAAATTAGAGGGGTTTTTTTGAGGGGGAAACCCCCACAACTCGGAGATGAAAGGGATATTAAAAAGTATTCTCCATGACATTCCGGATAGTATAGTGCTGGGTGAGGGGGAGGTTATTTGTTTATTTTCCGCAGATTGTATTAAAATGATACCAGCATATGTTTTACAAGAAAATTAACTCTGCTTTTAAAATCCTTCTAGTGAAACACAGACATGTTTCTTCTGTTTAACATGTAGATACTTTCCCCCGATCTTTTCCAGTTCTCTTCCTTCGAATCCCTGGCATTATTAAGCATATTCTTTTGTATTGCTTCCAATTTGTAGCACTTGAAATCTTTCTTTCACCCTACCATTTGTTATACTAATGTTAAACTTACTGTCCTTGCTACAATGAAAGTTCCTTTCTGCTCTTCTGACACTGCCTAAAAAACGCATACCAGAGTTTTATGCACAGTTTCTAGAAATGTTGTATTTACTAAACTGAAAATTCCAGATGGATAAACCTGAAAATTTTAATCCTGGAAAATTCAGTTTTAACACTGGGGTAAAGGGAGAGAAGTCTGTAAATCCTGTCTAATTACCATACATTGCTTGTTAAATGAGGAATGTCGGTTCCTGGGCATGCCTCTGTCATAACAGTAAAATACCCTGTGGTTGACTTGGAAGCTACAGCTGCAGCTCATTCCAGGTAAAACACATATTTAAGAAACAAGCAAAATGTTTGCTGATGCATTGAGGTGAAGGGTCTGTGAAATTCAGTATCTGAGATATTTCTAGTGTAGTTTAATAATAATAATAATAACCTGTGGTGGATACTGGAATAAGAGTTTTGGAAGCCATACTTATGGGGATTTTTAAAATATGTTTGCTTTACATATGCTGAGATTTTTTTTCTGTTATTTTACTTCATTAAAAAGAACAATTGAAGTTATGAACTAAAATATTCTATAGGCTTAGGCGAGACACAGTTTGCAAATTATCAGAATGACTAAAGCATTAAATTATGCTTGTATTTGTGCAATAAAGATAATTTCATACAAAACTTAACTTGCAGCTCTGTTAAGTCATGAATATGTTCTCACTTTTGAAATTGTATTCTTTTATTCAGGTCTGTAAAGAAACCAAGCCTGACATGTGGACCCATTAATTCTGGACTATGATTTCAGGAATTTAATGATGGATAGCCAAGAACTAGGTTTTTTGAAGACTAGCATTTTATCAAATGCTAGTCTTCAAAACAGATGAAACTGTTCTTCATTTAACACACACATACACTGTTACATACCTGAAAATGCTTATGTATGCTTTCTGTGTGGAAAACAGTGTTGTTTAATTATCTTAGCAAGAGACACTTATCTGCATTAAAAATTTCTTTAGAGATTTCTTTTATCTAGCGCTTTCTACCCCAAGTAACTTGGACTCCATCTAATAAAAAAATAAGACAGATTTTGCAAAGATTGTTATAAAACACAGGAAGTGTTTTTTATTTTAGCATGCAGAAAGATCAGCATGGAATATTTGCAAATACTTTTCCTCTAGAAACTCAAATATAGTCAAAGATAATTTAGTTTTGTTGATTCAGATTTTAACTGTGAAGTATTGCATGAAAGCAACTCTGCTTGAGAGCTCTGGTGACATCTAGAACTCTTGAGAATGTCTCTTCTAATAGCTGCTAAATGTTCCAGTGTTAATTAGGCAGTAATGTAAATTGAATCAAATGTTACAACAGCGTAATGTTCTCCTGTTGATTAGAAGTTCTATGCCTAAGCAAACATACTTTCAGCAAACAAGAATATTTTAACTTTGCCTGTTCAACGGGAAGCATTTCTGCAGAAGTCCTAAATAGTGCCCTATAAGATGCCCAGAGAAATCTGGTCATAATATTTCTGTTTTAGCAATCTGATAAGAGCAGCATCTCTTTCTCTTCATGGAATGAAAGCAAGAACAGTTTAAGGAAATCTGTGGAGTCACACACGTGGTGGCTTTCTGCTACAGTCCTAGTCCATACCAATACCTAAGGCCAGCTGAAGCTTTTACTTCCTCCAAGGGTCAAAGAAAGCAAGAACAGTGAGCTGTATTCCAGAGTATGGCATTGTGGCTGACAGTGCAGATCTGCAGAGGGCAGATGGGCAGCCCTCTCAGCGTGTGCCATCTGGACCTCTGTGGAATAGCTGGGGTAGGAGCATTTTGAGCACAGGGGGAAGTTGCTCTTCCCTCCAGATAGACACCTACGCGTTGACAGT